GGCCTGGTGTAAGTCAGAGGGGCATTTGGTAATGTCGGGTTAATATGGGACTTCGGCAAGGCTGCTCAATAATAGGTTCCAGTCTGGGAGTAGTAAGATAGGTGTAAGGGGGTGAGCTAATTTTATTAGTCAGCATTTGGTGGATGAAAAAAAAAAAATTAGTTTTTTTTTTTAAAAAGTGTTAAACCAAAAACCTACCAGTAGGTGTCACCAGAGGGTAATTGTATCAAAATAATCTTTATGGGTCTAATAAGAAAACAACTTTTAATATATTTATACATAAAATAAAACCTTATAGCAATAAATATATTAAAATAGGGTAAGCAATCCTACTTCTATCTGTTATAAACAATGTATTATCAATGTAACTCCCAAAGATGGCCAGTAGGTGGCTTAGAGTGCCTCCCTAAAGTCAAATGAAACAAATAGACTTTAATTAATTATGTCCTATTTTATTATTACTTATTTTAATCAATGTCCACTCTGCTAGCTAGGCTTGATTAAATCTTTAGTTCTAAGGTAAATTAAACATTTCAGTTTGTAGTTTAGTAAAAAGGGGACATTTTGGACAAAGCTGGGAGGGGCCCATCCAGTAACTAAAAAAAACCAATATACCATCTGATACCATTGATTAGGGGGAGGGGTAGTACAGAAATACAAGAGTTTGAAACACAGGAACAGATAGGTATGTGGGTAGGCGGGGACAGTAGAGCAGGGGGAGTGCAAATACTGATTATACCAGCCAGAAATGGGCGTGGCTACTCTAGCTCTGGAGGATGTTTTGGGGGTTGGTAATCAGATGCCAGGGGGGGGGAGGGGATGTCCAAAGCAGTTGTAATTAAGTCCTTAGTTCTGACCACCATGTGGCTACATTGTTTCCCATATGACACAGTTTAATTCACCAAGGCAACAATCAGTTTCCAACAGTCAATATATAGAAACTGATCATAGAATTCCAGCCTACTAGTTACAGCCACATGTACACTCTGCACTAAATTTAAGTGAAGACTGCTACATGGAGGCCATGCGGCCACCAGGACAAGCTACTCCCTACTTTTTTTTTTTTTTTTTAAACATACAAGACAAAAGACTAACAGCCTAGTGAATCAGATTATTTCAACAGAACGTCTGATTCAAAAAGCTGTACAAATATACACACAGTTTCAACAGTCACACCAATCTCCTTATCACCAGCAACACATTGCGCAGTCACTAGGCCCAAACACACACACAGGATCCTCACATGCTCAACAATATCACGACGTCGCACACACGAAATTAAATAAAAAACCCACCAAAGACTATACACTTATCAATGTAACTATTATTCAAACCATACAACTATCCACGCTATTAATCCATATAAACTAACCGATCACATAACATTTCAACAAATTCATCTCTACAATTATCTGTACTATAAATCAACTTTTGACTAACCAACTATATCACATTCTAGTAACCTCATCTTTACAGTCAGTGGTTATGGTACAGTTAGTAAGTGGTTATAATACAGTTTTAAAGTCACAGATCAGTTAGTAACAGTTATGGTATTATACATATAACATAAAACAGCAATTATTAGTAATTTTTACACAATGTCAGTGGTTATGGTACATGTCAGTAGTTATGGTACTGTGCGCTATTTTACAGTTATACACACAATTTACACTCCCACTAGACAGCAGAGCTCTAACTTTCTAGTAGGACATACAAGTTAACCAATTCACCAACTACAATATATTTAACAACATTTACAATAATCCCAACTAAACTATTGGCCAGTACCTTGAATAGACTACCTAAAACTATATACACCCGTTTTGGTTAGCCACACTGCCCAAGCACCACATATAGCGAACTAGAGGGCGGAAATTGCCCTTCTAGTCTATTTACTCTATCAAAAGTCTAGTGGGTTCCAAATTTACACGCCTTCCCACTTAGCCAAGATAGGTTGAGAGCTAGCGAACCGAATTTACACAGGCGCCGCTTAGTCTCCCGGTCCCTCCGACCTAGCGAACGTAATATACACCCTAGAACGCTAGTCTAGACAAGACACCGGTGTCCGGCTAGGGCTATTTACACAGGACCCCGCCTGACTAACCAGATCAAAACGGTCTTACTAAAGAGCGTTCGATCGAGCGGTGCGCCTTCGCTCCTTCCCTCCGACAGAGGGGGCAGATTCCATACACAGATTTAAACCCCTTTTGGGCCTACCGCACAATCGGTATACCCCTAGTGGGTCTGCCGTCTAAAACAGCAGTTGTCTTACCTCCTCGTTCCTGAACCTGAGTTCACACTCATCGACGGGGACACCCCAGCACTTCTTACGTAGAGGCCGATGATCTCCTGGACAACAGACCAGTGGCGCCGAGACGAAGGGAGGTCCACGCAGAAGTTCAGGGGTGCAGCCGTAGAGAACGTGGGCAAAGATAGACCGTCTCACGCCTCTGCCTCTCAGCTACCGTTGAACGATGAGCTTCCCGGCCAATGCACCAAATGATACCGGAGAAACTGACGGAAGCAAAGCACAGAGGGATGGACACAGGTTTCTTCAGGAAGGAAGAGATTCTTTATTGGATCACCGATCGGGACTCAGAGGGACTAATGTCACCAAAAATACAGCAAGTTCTGAGCCCTGAACAATAGTGCAGGCTCCCTATATAGGCACATAACTCCTCCCATTAATAGCTACACCCACATATACCTTTAACCAATCAATGAGCAGAATATAGACTTGTACATCTAGTCAAACCACATGGCCCATCCAAGACAAAGGAAATAAGTGCAATTTCAGTTCCTGCATTCCTGCACATGCTCAGTACACTGATGACAGTATCCTAGCTACATGTAGCTAACCAACTGACACAACATATACATATGCCACATGGAGATTTTGGCCTACTAAATTTTAACCATGCTGGAATCCCATCACATATGCTTACAGTATAATTAAAAATTTTACTCTAAAAGGCCCAATATTTTATATTGGAAAAAGCAAAATATATATATATATATATATATATATATATATATATAATCTCAATATCTCTCTCTCTCTCTCTCTCTATCTATCTATCTATATATATATTTATTCTCAATCATCTAGGGTGGCAAGACATAGCCTTACATATTACATGCGACAATATATGGCGCAATGACTTCTGGGGCTGGCATAGATTTTCCAGGGCTGCTTTGGAATCCCCAGTCCGGCCCTGGTTACATTCTGACTGTTTGATGTCTGACATTGTCCTATTTGTCCCTCTGCCGTTTTCCTTTTCTTTTATGTAGTTGTGAGAGAGTGAGTGTACAGACACTAGATTTGCAAAGACAGAGGAATGCTCTGCATATGAAGTATTGTAGCTTTCCGAAGTGCTTTATATGCTTGGAGTCTGTCGTTTTCTTCACAGTTTATAAAACGGGGGCAAAAACGCCTCTATGTCTGTCACATAGCTGGGCATGTTTTCTTCCACCTCCTTTGATTTCACAGAGCTCACAGAAGAGTCAGACCGGCTGTATTAGCGTGCACCTGCCTTCCCCCCTTTCTCAATGAGCAGTCCTAGAGTTCAATGGGAAACAGAGATAATGCGGAGATCGAGTGTGCATGCGCACACATGCAGCTCCTTCTCAATGAGGAGCCTCTGATTTGTGTATTCCCTGGCAAAGACTGGGGGCTTTCAGAAAAACATGCAGAAATCAAAATAAAAGCACTTTTTCTTTGGGTTTATAGCTAATAAATATTTTTTATTTTTTTATTTTTTTTTATTCAGTGGAATGTTTCCTTAAGGTGTTCTGTGAATAAACGTGTTATACAAAGGAATTATTTCATGAGGGGGCAACAAAATTGATCTTTGCCTAAGGGAGTAGAAATCCTGACATCGGCCCTGCCTATGGAAATCAGATTGATAGATAGATACTGGATAGATGGATAGATAGATATAGATAGATAGATAGATACTGTGTAGATAGATGAGAGACAGATACTGTATAGATAGATATATAGATAGATATTGTATAGATACTGTATAGATAGACAGATTTAGATATATATGTATAGATAAATAGAATGACAGATACTGTATAGAATGATAAACAGACCCACTGTGTAAATAGATACTGTATAGATAGCTAGAGACAGATATTGTATAGATAGATACTGTATATATAGATACTAGATACTGTATAGATAGACATATATATATAAATATAGAATGACAGATACTGTATAGATAGAATGATAGACAGACAGACAGACACTGTGTAAATAGACAGATCGGTAGATAGATAGACAGATCGGTAGATAGATAGACAGATAGTTATTCACAGTGATTTCCCCCTCCACAATATTTTCATGTTTTCTTTAGGATATTATAATTTTGATATAGAACATGCTACTTGCATGTATGGAACATTATGTAGAAAGTGAAATTTTGCTACAAAAGGTGATGCACAAATTAGTGGGGTGACATGACTGGTAGATGATTTAGGTGAATTGATGTTGGTGAAGTGAGTAATAATTTTGTGCAAGGTTTGTGGGTTGGAATAAATAATTAAAGCCGATATTTTTCTAGAAACTATCAAATACCAGAAATAATCTGGAAAAAAAAACAACTACAAGTTAAAAAAATCGCTCCTAAACGTGCTAAGCTATCTGTGAATCTAAATGAATCAGATCTGGCACGTAGCTCGTAACTTGTTTACGAAAAACTAATTCTAGGGCGTGAAAGAGAGTTTCAGATGTGATACATTTTGGGACTTGCATGTGAGTTTTCCATATTTTATCAGTACCAAGCCGTGTGGGAAAGGAGGACAAAAGTAAACTACGACAAAGCTACTTCTGCTAGGCATGACGTGGCTTGTTTTCTTATAAGAGTCAGGGTGGTAACACTTGTTTTG